GGACTGTTCCTTTCTGTCCATGAACCACACAATTTAATCATTACAAAATTAATCATATTTGCTAATGCAACATGCAAGTTAAATTTTATCTGCCCTCTCTTTAAATATTTCCTCAGATATTTCATTATCAAGTTTCAACTTCCTTCCCCATGACAACGCTGGTTTTGGAGTTTTTCCAAGCAACATCTGAAAACAAAATTAATGTACATTCATAAAATGAACAAACTAGTTTCAGATTTAGTTCATTATACTTTCCCTCTTGTGAATCAATCATAATTCAAAGTAAAATTAAACACACGAATTTCAAGTGCTGTAGTTTTAATGAATCTCACCTGAATAAGAAGAATACCAACCCAACCATTGGTATTTATTTCTAATGATCAAATGAGCAGTAATTGCACGTTTATACATAAAAAATAAAAATAACTGTATAAATAAAATATATGGCCAACAACAAACCTTTATCTCATAACCTAGCTGTAGTTCTTAAAGCAATCTCATAGCCAGACCTTAACATTTATGAGTTGGTAAAATTTACCATCTAAATTACATATAAGACACAGTTAACAATATGCTTCATCGGCTGTATGTGGCTACTAAAGTGATAGTGTAAATTCTTAAATGTAGGTACCTTAAATTGATTTATGTTTACATGTTACAAACCTTTTAAAATCAGAGCTATATGTGTGTCCTCAAAAGCTTTTCCCTAGCCAACTATCTTTTCCTTGAATTTTATTCCAGATCAACTTCTTATGGCTTCTCCTAACAAATTCATTTATGGTCTCCTCACCAATTTTGGAAAGCTCATTATCCTAAAATATAAATCAACATGTAACAGTAATCTAACTACCCCACAAACTTGATAATCCATGCTTAATTATTTTAGCTTAAACTATCTAATAAAAAAACAACCTCTGTTACAAAATCAATCAAACATTCATTTGCAAATTTTGGTTTCTCATAACCATGATAAATGCCTATTAAATCTACAATTTTAGGATAAATAAACAAATTACACAAGATAGGATATGACTGACTACTAAAACTCTTTTTTTAGTGGGATTTCATCGAAATGTACACAAATTTCTATAACATTGTTTTTTTGTGAAGATAAAAATACCATTGAAATTTGAATCATATGGATCATAGTATTTGTTCTCTGGGTGAAGCGAAGCAAGAAGGGTTCTAGCATTTGAACTTAAATGAGAAATGTAACAATAAAACACTGAAAACTTTGTTTTTAAACTTCCACAAAATTTATTTTAAATATTATCACTACAGCTGTTTCGGCTGATTGCCTTTCTCAAGTGATCTATTTTGGCTTGGGTTTACAAATTTATAGTCTCTAATGAAATAGGTTGAGGAGGGGAGAACTGTTTGGCTCAAGTTGGTCATTCAGAATTATATCTGTGTTTTTTAATTTGCTAATTTCCATAAATTCTAACAAAGATAGCTTAAGGCCTTTATTTTGAATGTGAAGAATTTTAAATTTGTCATTAAAAGAGTGATTATGATCTGGAAGGTGAAGTGCGTATGTCGAATCTGTTTTTCTATTCTTGCAAGCCCTTTTATGTTCTGCTATTCGTTTATCAAAGTTTCTACCAGTTTGACCGATGTAAGTTTTTGGGCAGTCGCCACATTGAAGTTTGTACACACCACTATTTAAGTGTTTTTTATTTTGGCTCTTGTTATTTTGAATATATTTGCCTAGGTTGTTATTTGTTCGGAAAGCTGGTGTTATTCCTTTCTTTCTTATGTGTTTGGCAATTTTTGTTGTTATTTTGCCTGTATATGTAATCGAGCAGAAGGTACTGGGTTTTTTCTCTGGTGGTGGAAATACTAATTTCATGGCTTTCTTGTGTAGTTTTTGATTTAACATTTTATTATTTGTTTGTTTGCTGTATCCGTTGTTTACTGCTATCTGCTTAATTATATTTAATTCTGTCTCAAAGTTGTATTTTGACATCGGAATTTCTGTTAATCTATGTAACATACTATGATAAGCTGCCAGTTTATGTTGTGTTGGATGGGATGACGAATTGTGTATAGTCGTGTCAGTATGGGTAGGTTTATGAAATATGGAGAAGTCATGTTTGTTTTGAAGTCTGCCATATTTCATAAACCTACCCATACTGACAAGACTATACACAATTCGTCATCCCATCCAACACAACATAAACTGGCAGCTTATCATAGTATGTTACATAGATTAACAGAAATTCCGGTGTCAAAATTCAACTTTGAGACAGAATTAAATATAATTAAGCAGATAGCAGTAAACAACGGATACAACGAACAAACAATTAATAAAATGTTAAATCAAAAACTACACAAGAAAGCCCCGAAATTAGTATTTCCACCACCAGAGAAAAAACCCAGTACCTTCTGCTCGATTACATATACAGGCAAAATAACAACAAAAATTGCCAAACACATAAAAAGAAAGGAATAACACCAGCTTTCCGAACAAATAACAACCTAGGAAAATATATTAAAAATAACAAGGGCCAAAATAAAAAACACTTAAATAGTGGTGTGTACAAACTTCAATGTGGCGACTGCCCAAAAACTTACATCGGTCAAACTGGTAGAAACTTTGATAAACAAATAGCAGAACACAAAAGGGCTTTCAAGAATAGAAAAACAGATTCGACATACGCACTTCACCTTCTAGATCATAATCATTATTTTAATGACAAATTTAAAATTCTTCACATTCAAAATAAAGGCCTTAAGCTATCTTTGTTAGAATCTATGGAAATTAACAAATTAAAAAACACAGAGATAATTCTGAATGACCAACTTGAGACAAACAGTTCTCCCCTCCTCAACCTATTTCATAAGAGACTATAAATTTGTAAACCCAAGCCAAAATAGATCACTTGAAAAAGGCAATCAGCCGAAACAGCTGTAGTGATAATATTTAAAATAAATTTTGTGGAAGTTTGAAAACAAAGTTTCCAGTGTTTTATTGTTACATAAAATGAATTTCCATCAAGTAACGGTCGAATCCATCAATTATTCAAATGAGAAAGGTCAGGAACTTCTTTATGTATTTTTAATAAATCACCTACATAAGGGATTGAACAAACCTCGATGCCCATGCACTTTTTAGAGCCACACAAGATCGAGAGGAGTATGCCAGAATTGATGCCAACATCCACTAATTGGATAGGGCACCATAAGAAGAAGAATAAATTACCTAGTATTAAAGGACAAAGTCCAGTTGAATAACTTATTAGAAAAATTAAAAAATCTCGATAAGGTTCTCCGGAATTCTCATTACAACCATGTTTAGATCCTTCTTCAGTTTCATTGAAAGGAGAGCTTTGTAAAGGATCACCGGAATGGTCGTCCACGTGGTAATTTGGATTATTTTAGGTACTTAACATGTTAATATAAAGTTTAAATCGGAAGTATTGTAACCTGAACTATTTGAACTAAAACTCTCATCAAAATGATCAGTTAGGGATTCCGAATAACGGTTTGAAGGAGATGAAATATGGAGGTTATTAATATTTTCAACAATATCCTCTACCTTTTTCGTAACCTTCCTCTGTCGATGACGCTTAGAAACAAATCGTTTTCTTTTAAACATGAGTAAAAATTACACTTACCTTTAAAATAAAACGAATTTCTGAAGTATAACCTAACACGTGTTACCAAACCTTTAACAATATACTATAACCACAAAGCCAAGCATCAAAAAACCAATGCACTGTATACTGCTTAAATAGAATTCTTTAATTTGGTTTATTAAAGCATTACTAACATAAATATAATTAAACTGTGCCATTTGTTTAAATAAGTATGATATGACAGACAATGACAACATCATCAACATTATTTTGTTCAGCCAGAGTATATACTACCACTTGTTCATCTTTGAAAAATTATTTCAATATTCATCTTGTTGATAAAAATCATATTTTTACTTATTAGAATTAGCAAACATATATCATCGTGATAACTAGAATAATAAAACAATTGTAACGAATTATCTAGAAGTAAAATATTTTTACACTTTACCTTAAAAAAACATGTTTTGGATATATTAAACTATACAATTTTTAATTAATCATGATTTAACTCTTCCGCTTTTAATTATTTTATTAAAGTAAATACTGTTTTATTTCATTGAAATATTTGCTATTTGATCCCATAATTGGTAAATGTCGGATGTCCAGAAAACGTCCGAGTTCGGACGTCCAGGGAACGTCCGAGTATGGACGTCCAGGGAACGTCCGAGTACGGACGTCCAGAGAACGTCCATATTTGGTCCACCCAAAGTACGTCCCACTTCGTACGTCCATAGTACGTTTATTTTACGTCCAGGAACGTCGGGACCAAAACTGGACGTATATTGGACGTCCATAGGACGTCGTGTGTTACTAGGGAATAATGGGTTCGAGCAATTTCGAGCGGTCTTGACTACATCACACTCCTGAGCCAGCTATCAAATGTCATGCGCAATATCATACCTTGTATTCATTGTACCATCATGGTGGACGTACTATAGTGATTATAAAACAATGGTAATTAATAAATTGTTGTCTATGACGTGAAGTATTTTATTGAACCACACAATCTTATACACTTACAAGTCGTTAAATGCCTATATTTGGTTTTGGTTTAATTTTTATATACTTTAATCCTGAATATTTTATAAAACAATAATAAATGTTAATATTTTTTATTCACCAATTTTACATAAAAAGTTATAAGAAATCTGATTATTAATTTACTCTGCTTTAGAAATTATCTCTATACAAAACAGTTGTTATTGAACTATTAGTATACCCTGTCTATTATAAAATTTAACTGAGTATTATGTTTAAATATCAATACAACACTTCCTGAACAATACAAAAATCACTCCAAATAATCCTAAGCTATATCTTGGTATCACTTATTTCTAATAGTATATATACTATACTACTATATTTCTAATAGTAAGTAAGATTTCTTATAGTTAATATTAACCTAAAATATTTTCTGAATCATTTGTTTATAACATTAGGGCTAATTTGTCTAAGATTATTTATGTTCTTTATAGTTTTTAGTTCTCTAGTACCGTTAAACATAAAAGAAACATCACAGTTGCTTAAGGGGTGCGATTCTGCGGATTTAGGACTTATAGGGTTACTAGCTGGGGATACCACACCACTGTCTTCCGAGTTTGTAGGAGAGATGTTATTATTGGCAAATAGAAAATCTACAGAATTATTTTCACGAGCACCTTCGTTTTTGAACTCTTGAACTGTTATATCTATTTTAGTATTACTTAACATGTTATTTTGAGCGTTTAGTTTCTGTTGGAGTATATGGTGATGAGAGCCTGAGAAGAATTTTGATATTCTTTCAGTTGAATTACTAGGGGTGGTTGTCAGATTGGGAATAGCTTCATTTCTTTTACTTAGACTATTAGTTCTTGATCTGGTTTGGTCTGACTTGCTATTAACATGTGTTGGTAAGTTAATTATACCCATACTTTGTGATTTAGTCATTATTTTTTCTGGAGATTTCTGGAACATTCTTAAAAGATTGTTTTGATGAGGTTTTACTTCATGTTTTATTCGTTCTGTAAATGATAATTGTGATAATATTCTTTGTACATCATCAGGAATTTCAAGGTCTAATTTTTGTTCAATTAAAGATTGAACAAAATTTCCTAAAGAGCCTATAGTTACATCCAGAGCTCTGTTCTGCATTTCCAATTTGTTTATTTGTGACTGTTGTAAAACCCTAGTTTTCTCCAATCTTTGAACATTAGATAGACTTAACTCCAGCTGTTGCATTAGTGCTTTATTTTTTTCAGTTAAAATCTTGCTATGAGCTTCTAATTTATGAAATGCTTCAACCTGTGGTTGGACTAAATTTAGCTCCTCTTGTAAAACTTGATACTCTACTTTATACTCATTTAGTTGTTTGGTAAACGAAGTAGCATATACTTCTTTCATAATTTTATCTAAAGTAATTTTATCTATATTAGGAAGCTGTTCTTTAAGGTAATTCATGATCTCTTCAAAACTATCACATAAAAGTAATTTTTCTTTGTGGAAGATTAAAAGAGCCAGTGCTACACGGAAAATGACTTCAGGTCCTTCCAGAAATATAAGATCTGAAAAATAAAAAAATAATACCAATTAAAAACATTGATACATTTTGTTCGTGTTTCTAATTATTTATTCAAATCTTTACCAGAAAGATCTACAAAGAATTGTCTTCAGTATTTTAATAATAATTTAAAACTACCTAAAGATCGAACTAAGAGTTAGATCTTTAGGTAGAGTTTGACTAGAAATTCGATATTTTGAATATTAATGTGAATAAATTAAGTAAGTACATATGTAAATGACACAATACTATGGTTTTCAATTTTGACAGATCTCAAATAACCCATGCAATCATTTATAAATTATTTTTACAGCATTTTTTATTCGCAATGCAATGTTTTCCGGTGCACTTACACTGACATATTTCAATCAGACTTTAATCTGCGCTTTGGTCAATCAGACTTTAATATGCGCTTAGATAGGTTTACGTTTTGTGATACAATGTACATCAAGCTTGTGGTTACTTCAGACAGTCCTGAAACAAATGCTATTCTGGTTGACAGTGAACTTCACCATGCATGTGCTGAGGCTGGATACAAAAAATTGAAGTTGGATTCTGAAAAAGCTAATCCACAAATCGTCGTACTCTTCACTGCTCTTCAGCAAGTGTTGTAATGTCCCACATTGACTCATTCTTCATTGTTCTAACAACCTCAGTATGCCACTTACAACTATGATATTCACGATGCAGGTTCAAACGATGCCACTATGATGTTGTAGCATGAATCTATTGGTAATCGTGGTTTTATAGATATCGCTTTGTAGCGTTTTATATTTAATATCTATAAAATAGTATAAATTCTGTTTTAAGTTTTGTATTCAGTTGTTTCAAAATATAGATTTTTTTGTCTCTGTTACAATGTCAGGTAGAAACTCCGGGTAAAACTAAGGACGTTTAAAATAATCAATAAATACGTGTTATTTTTACCCAATTTAGAAGTAAATATTTTAACATGTTTTTGTAGTTGAAAACGATTTGTTTACATACAAGTCTCCTAATATTCCGATTTAAAAAAAAATGTTTTGTTGTCGGTTCGTTGTTACAAAAGAGGGTGGAGAGGTGTTTGTTTAGGTTCCGGAGACGTGAAGGGAAATTTGAATTTGTTTAGTTGGGGAGTCGAAGGAAAGATTAGCAGTGAAGCAGGAGATTTAAAACTGAGAGGACGTTTTTGCGGACTTTGAATCGAGAGTCGATTCATTTTTTTTTGTGTGTAATGTTTTAAGACCAGTTAAGGTGATAATACTCTTTTGCAATAATTGCAGTTAGAACAGAGTAATCACCATAGGATTTGTACAGATTCCGGAAACTGATGAAATTAGTATATAGGATGTCCCCGTCGTGTGCTTTGCTCCTCCACCAAATCTGATTTGATCGTCGTTCTTGAGTATGGAAGTGGTTTCTTGTGGTCCAGTTTGAGAATTTGTCCTTGCAGCTCCAATCCCAGAGATAGTAGCAAGTTTCTTTTAAAGTTAAGTGGCGAAATATGTAAAATAAGGTTACATTCAATATATTAATTTTTTCAAGTAAAAAACACATTATTTTTAACGATTGCTTTCATTAAGAATTAAAGAATTTGTAATAATTAAAGTTTTATATTATGTTAGAGTCGTAGCTAAAAAATGTGTAAAAAATGTAGTTTCTATCCATATGTTAGATGTTTTTAGATCAGCGTCCAACCAGCTTTCATCCTAATAATAAATTTTGCGCTCCTCTTTTCTACAAGTCCTTATCTGTTGAAGATATTCTCGACGCCACACTGCAATGCTGCATCTGTCTAAAAATTATAATAAATGGACATTTCTTATTTCTTCCCTTGCGTTGATATATATATATATATATATATATATATATATATATATATATATATATATATATATATATATTCAATAGCACTAAAGGCCTTAGAGACTCTTGGCTTAACAAATTTTGTTCTTTCTTCATTTTCGCTTTTCTTTATGTACTGAGATTTTCTCTGGCTCGATATGTGACTTTTCTCCATTCCTTCTTGTTATTCATTTTTCTTTTCTGGCCGTCTAGTCTAATTTCTTCCATATATTTTTCTACCTCCTGATTCCATCTATTTTTTGGCCTTCCTTTTCTCTTTTTTAAAGTTATAGTGCAGTTTAGTACCCTTTTTGGAGTCCTTGTGTTCGGCATCCTTTCTAGGTGACCTCGCCATCTTAGTCTCTGTGCCTTTATGACTCCTATTATGTTAGGTTGATTATATATTTTTTTAACTCATCATTTGATCTTCTTATCCATAAACCGTCCCTTTTTATTTTTTCGATATATCTTACTCAAGATTTTCCTTTCCCATATCTCCAGTAAATTTTATTCATTTTTTGTCATTGTCCACGTCTCACCGCAGTATGTTGCTATTGGTTGTATAGTTATTTTGTATAACTGTATTTTTGTCTTTCTTGATAAAAACTTGCTTTTCAACATTCCACTAAGAGCATGTACACTTCTATTGCCTGCCATTATTCTAGCTTCTATTTTTTCTCTTGCCAGCAACACTTTATCATCCGCAAATGCCAAAATTTGGTGTCTTTTATGATATAGGAGTCCTTTTCTATTGATTCTCGCTTGTCGATGAATAGCGCTATCGTTAGTAAGTTGTGTTCATAGCTTTGTGCTTGTAATTTTATGATTGTGAATACTTGGTCCGTTGTGCTTCTCCCTCGTCTAAACCCACACTGATATTCGCCTATTATATTTTCAGCTTCTTTTTCTAGCTTTTTCTTCTGCTTGTAATTCTCGGATTGTGAATACTTGGTCCGTTGTGCTTCTCCCTCGTCTAAATCCACACTGATATTCGCCTATTATATTTTCAGCTTCTTTTTCTAGCTTATCTTTTATGCATTTTGATAGGATTTTATATACGGTATTTAGTAACGCTACTCCTCTGTAATTATTGCATTCTGTTTTGTCTCCTTTTTTGTGTAATGGACAAATAATGGCTTCCTTCCAATCTTCTAGTATTCGTTCTTTTATCTATATCTCTTTTATGATCTTGTATATCCAATTCTTTAGCTGTTTTCCACCATATTTAATCATCTCTGCTGTTATGTTATCGCTTCCAGGGGATTTGTTGTTTTTCAGATTTTTTATGATTTCCTCGCTTTGTTCTTTGCTAGGTGAATTATCTTCTATGTCTTCTAAGTGTTCAATTCTTGCTTCTGTTTCCATATATTCTCTTTGGTTTAACTTATTATTGACATTTAGTAATTCATCAAAATACTCTTTCCATCTTTTGACTATTTCTGCTTCCCCGCTTATATTATTTCCTGCTTTGTTTTTAACGAATATGGGTTTTTGTTGGAAACCTTTTTTCCATTTTTAGCACCTTGATATAGGTTTTTTATTTTTTTATTTCTGTAATTCTCGTCTATTTCTTTTAGCTTATTTTCTATGTGTTTTCTCTTCTTTTCTCTCAGCACCCTCTTTACTTTTTGTCTTAGCTTTCTATATCTATTCTTTGTCTCTATTGTTTCTTTCGTGCTCATTTTCATCCTTAATGATTTTCTTAGTTTTATTTATTTTTGGCACTCTATGTCGGACCAGTCTTTCATATTTTTATTCTCTTGTTTATTACATTCTTTTGCTTCTTTGTTCATTATTTGCTTTATGTTTTCCTATTTGTTCTCAGTTTGCTCTTCTATTTGTATCTTTTTTAGTTCTCTTTCCATTGTTTCCTCGTATATTTCTTGTTCTTTCTTTGTTGCTAATCGAATTGGGTTATCTTTACATTTCTTTTTTTTATTTTGTTTTTGTTTTGTGGTATCAGTTGCTTAATTTTGATACCCACCATGTAATGATCTGAGTCACCGTCTGGTCCTCTGTATGTTTTTATCTTCTTTATACATTGCTGTTCCTCTTTTTCGATGAGCACGTGGTCTATTTGGTTTTTAGTCTTTCTATCTGGCGATATCCATGTTTCCTTGTGTATTTCTTTCGAAATATGTGCTCATTATCATCATATATTTTTCTCTTGCGAAATCTATCAGGAATTGTCCGTTTTCATTAGTTTTATTGTGTTTACTATATTTGCCTATTGTCGGTCTAAATACTTCTTCCCTCCCTATTTTGGCATTTGCGTCGCCTAGAATAATTTTCATATCATATCTGGGCATATTTTCGATTGTTCTGTTTAATTCACTGTAGAAACATTCTTTGACATCATTATCTTTTTCTTCTGAAGGTGCGTGAATATTAATGAGGGTGATTTTTTGGTATTTTTCCTTGAACCTGATACTACTTTAAACTCTACTATTGCTTCCTTTAGCTCTCTTCTTATCATAAAACCTGTGCCTAACGTTCGATTCTTTACACTGCTGTTGAAAAATATTGTATTTTCTATTTCTAATATATCATTTCCCAGCTGTTTCGTCTCCTGTAAAGCTACTATGTCAAAATGGAACTTTTCGATTCCTCTCGCTAAATGTTTAAGTTTGCCTTCTCCATATGTGCCTCGTACATTCCATGTTCCTAAAAGAAAGTGCTCTTTTCGTAATGTTTTCTTGTGTTTTGGTTCGGTTTTCATTTTTTTACTCTTTTTTCCTTTTTTTGTATTATCCCTAACCTTGTTATGTGCTTGTTTCGTCAACGTTATTCCAGTAGTACATTTAGTTGCTAGTTTTTTATGTTTTTTTACATATTGCGCCTTCTTTGTCATTCCACTTCCATTCGCTATTATTTACCCATATTTTTTTTACTCCAATCGTTACTTCATTACCTTTATTTCTTTCTTCTTGAGCAATGTTTCTAATTGTTTTCTGTATTTCTCGTTCTTTTATGGTTGCATCTTCGTTGATATATATTTTGTACTCTTTAATTTCTTTTAACTTGTGTTTTTTTCCATTATTTTTCTTTTTTGTTCTTGGTTTTCTAATTCAATTAGGCATGTTTTTTCGCATAACTTTTGAGCATTCCTTATTTTAACATCTACCCCTATATGTTGTTTGATGAAATTGTTGATTGTTCATTTTAACTCTGCTTACTCAT